CCAGTATTCTAATCTCCATCACTTCTATCTGACAAATTTTTGATGAAGTTAAATTTCATCAAAATTAGATGTGCATCGCCTGAAATTGAAAAGTCTGAGATTCTTCTAGTCTCAGAGCTGTTCATGATGCTGTACTAATACGGAACTAGTGAATCGAATTACGTCAGTTCTTGGAATATTTCTTTATGGATTATTGGTTTGCTTTTATGAATAATCTTAAGACACATTCATGGTCTGATCTAAACCATGAAGCAATGTTTGTTGTAATTCAACTTATATGATATATAACGTAAAGTTTTACCCGTGCTTATACTTTCAGGAGATCAACCATTTACTTTGTTTTATTATCGATAATTCTGCAATTCCATTTACTCAAAATATAATCTTTTTTCAGGTCATTCCTTGCTGATTAATCTTTGTAAGAATTGAATTTGTTTTCTTACTACCCAGAAACGTAAGAATGAATATTTTGAGTTCAGACCACTTTATTTGTGATCATATTTGTAATTACTGAAATACAAAATGAGTGAATAAGTACTTTTGTAGGAAATTTTTCGATGAAAGACAATTAAGAACAAACCAGTTTTGGTATGAAACACTTCGATGAATGTTCACCGATCATGTAGTTTTTCTTACTGACTTTAGGAATGGTACGAAACCAAAACTTATTTTAAAAAACAATGGATGAATCAACCAACTAATTTTGGTATGTGTTAAAGTTGTTCGGCTAAGAGTTCTCAAAAAATTTAGTGTAAAATGTGAACGAATAGACGGTTACCTGCCGTCATTAGTACTTCCAAGTGCTTCTATTATCAGTTATAAAAGATGTTTCTTCCTTTTTCGTTAACACTTTCAAGAATCATCTAATATTAACTTCATTAAATATGTGTGTACAGAATTAAGACGTTTTGACTGTAACAAAGATTTGTATTTAATCTGTTTTCTTTGCATAGAATTTTGTTTCATAGAAAAGAAGCGTAAATACCCGTGATATGACTGCTTTTGGCGTAAATTACTGACTTAAGGTTTTTTTTAATAATTAATAAAAGATTTGATAGAGTTGTTAAAATTTTATAACTTTTCAGATCTAAATTATTCTTTGTGTGATTTATTTTGATCAGTTTTCAGATTTTAAACGGATTAACGGATTCTTGAAAAACAAATATGTTTAAATGTATAGTTTTCGTATTACTGTTGCCAGTAGTGTACAGTGCAGCAATTAACTCATTTAATGGCAATGTTGGAGGTGATAACGTAAGTTAATATTTTCTTATTAATGTACTGAAGCAAAAACCTTTATCTACCATCAGAATAAGCAGTTAGGTTCTGAACTCGCAAAACTGCTTAGTCGTTACTGCAGTTTCTATCATCAACAACTCGCGTTATTCCTGGTTATGAGGCACTAAACCTCAGGAAGTACTAAGGAGAGCCGTAGATGCCAGTAGACTACCCGGTACATCATAGGAGATTGCACAGTATATTATAATCTTGCCTTTGGTACCTCCTGAGTTGTTTGCATCCTTTGGGCCCTGGAAGATTCATGTGATATAGCTCAAAAAAAAGTATTTTGATAAGAGTGCTGCAAAAAAATTTTTTTAGTTTTTATATTTTCATATCTTTGTAATATTGGGAATTTGATGAACAAATCTTAATATTATGAATTTCAGGCATTTAATAACAATGCAAATGTTAAAGAAGATGTTGACATTAGTTTAAAACCAGAAGAAGATGAATCTAAGGATACTAAGGATTCTTTTAATGCTAATTACGTTGGAAGCAATGTTAGTTGTTTATTGTGTACTGATTTTTCTAACTTTTAACCGTAGAAATATGCTAATTATAGCAGTTACAAAACTAAACAGTATTGTTCTCAGTTAATAATACTGAAAATTGTAATCATAATTGTGAAAATATTAACAGAAACCACAGCTAACTCATAAGAAGTTTATCTAATTTGATATTAAAAAAGTGATTCTTAAATACTGAGTGAAAAAACCTTTTAGAATTTCTAATAAAACATTTCTACATGTCTGCCAATTATTTTCATTCTTTAATAAAAAATTTTTCAGTCCTTCAATAATAATGCTAATCGGGTGTCTAGATATCGTTCAAGATGGGAAAGGAAATTCTTTTTACCAAGATCGAAAAATTGGGGAATACCTTATGCCTGCTGTGATTTAATTTATTAATTAAGTGCAATCAAAATTTATTCTATTCTTATTTGTAATCTATTTATTGATAAGTTTTGTGAATTTTACAAGTTTTGAGAATTGGTTAAAATAAATGTAAAATATTGTTACTTCATACACAGTAAATCATTTCTAATAGTCAAAGTTTAGCAGCTTGATGTACTCAGAATAAAGCACAACGATTGCAATGTCAACTAATATTTATTAATATCAGATACGAGCTTTTAAGCAATTTTCATTTTTTAGTTTTAAAATCTGCCATAATACTTATCAGATGGGCTAAAGGTATAAATGCTTTCAAAGATGGAAGTGGATTTTACTTTGAGCATAAATCTTCGTCTGGCGTTCTCGCTTGCTCATTTTAGTGATTACTTATCATTTTTACCGTTGTTATTTGATGACAACCCTAGTATAAAAGCATTTTATGCCTACATTCTATATAATCAGAACCTTCAACCTGATAAGAGCACCCATCAGGTTCATGTAAATTTCGAAGTTATCATTATTATCAGTGAATGTATTTGTCGTCGTCATCTATTAGTCATTCGTTATTATGATTAATTAATCAGTGGTGAGCACTGCTATTAACCGAATATTATCATTATTATTAGTACCGTGCTGATAATCAGATATCAGTACTGCTATTACTGTATTCACGTTCACATCTTTTTATTCTATTTTTATTAACAAAATTTTATTTTCACTTGTTTAATAGTCATTTCTCACCTAACACAATTATCATTCTTTATCAATTGTTATTAATGGTACTAATTAGTCGTTGTTTTTTATTACGATTTTTTATCATCATACTGTAATATTATTTCAAGATCTTATTATATAATTTGTAGTTATTCATTTTTATTACTATTATTAATAATTAACTGCCATTTACATAGTAATAACTCGTTAAACACTTTCGATAAAATTATCATTCAATATTAATTATTTGACAAATTTTATTATGTAATTAATGAAACTTCTGAATATATTAGTTCACGTGAGGTAATCAATTTGTCAATAGAATTTTGTTGATGCTTTCAAGTATGTTTGTTCAGAGTTTAAACTTGCAATTTTTTACGTTTAATAATCGATCACTGATCATTGCAATGTAGCAATTCTCTTCGCAATTTTTGCAAAGAAAACACTTTTCTATACATTTGCTCAAAATTTGTTTCTATCGGAAATAACAAGTTTTATTTTGTGATTTCAGCAAACACACACGCACACACGTATACATACATACAGACATACATGCGTAGATGCATACACACGCACACATATACGTGATTCATTCTTTTCCCTTCTACTGCTATAAGAGAACCAAAAATAACTTACTTACTTATTCAGAGTGAGTAAATAAATGAACAGAGAAATAATAGTTTTACTTATTTTTGCTGAAATGATTTTGAACAAATAAAAAATATTAAATTAATGAATGTATTGCTTTGTAAAATTAATATATTCTTTAAAAAATTTAAAAATTTTTATAAAATTTTAAAAAATAAAAGTTATTTTTTATGAAAATAAAATGGTAAAAGTCAGAAAGTAATTAAGAAAATAAAAACTTTTGTCATAAAAAATAATTTGAAAAACTTTAAAAACTTTTTTTGAAAATAAAAAGTTTAAATTTTATTTTGCAATAAAAACATTAAAAGCATTAAAAAATGAGCTAAAAAATTGAATAAAAAGTGAAATTTAACAAAAATACTTGAAAAAAAAAACAGAAAAAACAAAAAAAACAAAAACGCAGAAAAGAATTATTTGATTTTCATAGATAGAATTGCTTGAAGAGAAAAGATTAAAAAAGAAGAAACTTTTTGTATTTTTTACAAAAATGATTTTTGATGATTTCATGCAATCATTATTATCACACGTTTGCTTGCATTTGAAATTGTTTCCATTTTTTCATAAACAATTATTTTGTGATTATTTTATATTGTATACTATTAACTTTTTTGCATTCAAATATTCAATTTTACAACATTTTTGTTGTTATTTAAAATGAAATTAATTAAAAACATAAGGCATGTAATGAACTTTGATCCCACAAATATTATTTTGATAGCGCTGCAAAAACTTTTATCGATCAATGAAATTAGCTGAGAGTTTGGGATAAACAGCGCAGTGTTTTTCTCATCTGATCAGAGAAAAACGTCGAGATGTTTGTTGTTTACCACTCTCGATTCTCGATTCTCATTCTCGATTCTCGATTCTCGATTTCCGATTCTCGATTCCTGGGCAATCAGACCTTTTTCACTCACTCATTTGATAATGCATTTGCTTGCTAACTTTTCCAAATTCATTTTATTTTATAAAAAAATAGCTATTTTACTTTCAATATTCTAAATTACCCTTTGATATTTTTAAATTTAAATTTAAAAAATATACAATTTTTTATTCTAATAAAATATAAATTTAAAAAAAAATTTTCTTTGAAGTCAATAAAGTAGTCTATTGCTTACAATAATATTTTTTATTTTGACATATTTATTTTATAAAAATATATATATTATTTATTTATTTTTCATTATTAAAAATAATGATACAATTTTTATATATATTCTTAAGAACTATATATATATTTGTTTATTTTTGACATATTTATTTATCAGGAATTAGATTTGTTTTCCTCTACAATCGGTATTAGTAATTCAGATGCGTGATGGCAAAAATATGACATCACCAAATAGTAATAAAAACAATGATAAAAAATTAATAATCAGAAACAAAAATGATCTATTCAATTACAGGAAACTTCTGGAGAAGAAATTAGTATTAATTACAACGTTGTAAGAAACGTTTTGCATTTATTAAGTGTTATTAAGTCAATAAACCAAATTTATATTTAAAAAATACTTTTAATAAATCTTAAAATTGTTTAATAAAATAATAAATTTAATAAATAATAAAATTTTTTTACTGTCTTGTATTTATATAAACTTTTAACTACTATATGACTTTTGTAATTAAGTAAACAAGTCTATGAGTTATTAAGTGGATTAAATAATTAATACTTGAAGCTTACTTTTATTATTCATATAATAGTACTTATTCTTAAAAAAGCATTTCTTTCTATCTTCCATCAGAATTACTCGATTTGAGTTGAAAAAACTAAAACTGAACTGTGAGGCTTCTTTGCACTGGCTGATGTACTTTTATCTGAAACTCACGGAGGATAACTATCTACTGCAAATTGCTCACTTCAAGTCGTTGTACTTGTCAGTATTCTGAAGTTAATAAAGTAGTCTGTTGCTTACAAGTATTCTTCAGAATAATTACTATTATCAGTTACGTGCTTTATTAATTTTGGTATTGTATTATATACGAAAAAATTATTAGGCAAGTTGTAAGCATTTAATACTTTTATAAAAAATTTTGGTTGACACATTTTAGTAAAAATTTATGATTAATTATTGATTATTAGAAAAAGTTTGATCCGATCACAGTTTTGATTATTAAAGATGTAATATGAATAGATATTGCTTTTGTTCGCATTTTAATACTAACTAATTTTGCTCTTTTAAAAAATCTATTTATTCAAGAGATTTGAATTCTCTTATTATACGTACTTATCCATTATAATTTTTTCAAGCAGACAAAAGTTAAGCTTTATTTCGAGCTTAGCAATTTTTAAAATTAAACTAAGTTGTAAACACAAAAGTAAGACTTGCAAAAATATTTTTAATACTTTTCGAAAGTTTAGCTAATAAATATATAATTTAGAATTAGCGCAAATTTTATAAATTGAAAACGAAGAATTACAATATTCGTTATTAGTTTAATATATTATAAATGGGAACAATTATATTTGAGTTATTTTATTGACTGATTTTATCGTTTAATTTTTATTTAAATGTTCAAAAAATTATACATTATGTATTGCTCAATGAAAATCAAATCAAGTCATTTCAATAATGATATCTTTTTAACTAAAATACAATCAGTTATGAACAAACCTATATTTGATCATTTAATTAACTGATTAATTGATTAATTAATATTATTATTATCATTAATATCATTATAATAATTATTTTAGATACATGTTATGATTATGTGAATGAAAATAAGAAAAAAATTTGATCGTAAAAAGAAGAAATAATTTTTTATTCAATGAGAATTACTTTTACAGTCAATTGGTGTGCGTTTGACAACAGTTTTTATCTTCTCGAAACATTCTTGCTTTTACTGATTAAAAAGTTTGTTTGGGATAGAAAATATCGTCAAAAATACAGAAATGCTACGAACGTCAAGTGTATGTTTTGTATTTTATTTTTTTACTTTGTAAAATTCAAATTCGAATTTGAAACTTTAAGTATTTATGTAAATATTTACTTCGAGTATTTATGTAAAT